TCTAACTCCTTTGGTAGTTTCAAACAAATTGTCAAATATACAACACTAAAAACAATTTTTTAATATTTTTGCATAAAATAGAAAACAAACTATTCAATTTTAAATTGTAAAAACTTATTTCTCATTTATTTAATGTATAGAGCCAAACCAGTCTCAGTGTTATTTCTGACAGTTATCACAGTCAGTGATCTTGACATTTTCACATGAAATCATTTTGAACAAAAAAACTTTAAGTCAACTGTTGGAGCCAATTTTTCCAGATTTCTTCCTTCTCACTGTTATCAAACATGCAGAAAAACTGAAAAACAATCCTGATATCTTGAATCTTTACATAAAACAAGAAGCAAAACTATTCCACTTTAAACTGAAAAAACTTTTTTCTAACCAACAATCTTACTTAAGAAATCACTAATAATTCTGTCAAACCAATAATATCTTTTCAAAATTGTGATCTAGTTATCCTTGATAAATATGCCAAGAAAATACTTACGTTCCATCTTTGTATTTCTACTGTATTTCAGTTGAAATTAAGTAAAACTCTCTTGAACTCTTGGACGCGTCTCTTCTCCGATATCCGCAAGCACAAATGAGAAAATTCTGCCAAAAATTCCTCCTTTAATGACAAAAATCCAAGACCCTTGTGATGTATGCATGGGACTTAAATCAAAGCTTCTTGGAAGTTCCATAGGTCTGATGTCATCATCAGCAAACACAATGGAATTTATGTGTTGATTTAACATAATGCAGCTTTAAATACTTAAAATGACTAAAATCATGCTTAGTTAGTAAGTTTGTTAATTTTTATGTGCCAACATATGTGACACCTAGTAAATATTTAAATTACATTAGTACTTTATATTTAATGTAGTTTAAGCAGAACCCTGAACTTCTAATTATTGAAACTTAGGTCCAAAAATGCGGTAGCAGTTAATTTGTACTTCAGCAATGGGTCTCTAAATAAAAAGTACTGAACGTGAAAAGCCTAACTCAATAAAGACTTATTAAAATGTACTTCAAAGTGAACAAACATACTGGATAAGTTGCAGAAAACTGTTGAAGCAACTGTTTGACTTCCTGCTAAAGAGCCCCTGGTGGTTGAAGAAAAATCCACAGAAAAGGGCTATAAGTCGCATGGTTCAAAGTGCTGGAAAAAGGTAGCGGCTTATAGTCCGAGAATTACGGTAATAGTAATCAATAGCTCAGTAATCAATGT